TTGCTCCCTCCTACCTCTCCGACCTACTATCCCCCTACCTACCTGCCTGTATCCTCCGTTCCTCTGGCTCCGGTCTGCTCCACATCCCCCACTCCAACCGCTCTACCATCGGTGGTCGGGCCTTCAGCCTCTCAGCCCCGGCTCTGGAACTCCATCCCCCAGTGCCTTCGCCGCCTCCTCCCTTTCCTCCTTCAAGGCCGGTCTCAAGACCTTTCTCTTGACCGTGCCTTCAGCTCCCCTCTCGACTCTCTACCCCCTCCTCGCTCCCTCCCTTCCCTCCCCTCACCCTGACCATTTCCCCCCTGCTCGGGTCTCGACCCAACTGTCCAGCACCTTGGGACATCCTCCCGACGTGAAAGGCGCTCTACAAATGAAATCTTGTTGTTGTTGTTGTTCATGTGACATCAAAATCTGCACATTTTCCAGATTCTCTTGTACTTTCCATAAATCCCACTGCCCCAACCACCCGAGCTCTGCAATAGCACATCTACCCCCAAAATAAAAGCTAGACTTTGTAGGCTTAATAAAAGTTCAAGAAAAATACCCATATTGTTTCATGCTAGATTATAATGCACCAAATATGGACAAGTTATACTGGAAGTGTAATGTACGGAATCTGCCAGCACAGTCCAAAACTCCCAACTCACAAGAGTCACAGTGTCACTTTACAGTAAATTCTTCAAGAGATTGACATTATAAGGCACTGCATCAAATATAATAATAATAATCCTTACATTTGATATTTCACACCTTCAAGACATCTCAAAGCGCTTCACAGAATATACTGTAAAGTGTAGTGACTGTATTTTGTGGGCGAAACGTGGCAGTCAATCGACTAACAACCATGTTCCTACTTACTGTTAGGTAAACAGAAGCAAAGATTATTATTTACACCCAATGTCCAATGACCTTCCTGCCCTCTTTGAGTGAATTGGCAGGTCTCAACCAATCTGATATCATAAGCACAGTGGGTAAGTTTGCAGGTTGAATATGCAATCTTGAACAAAAGATTGAGATTGAGGAATACCCAATGTGTTCCCAGAGAACAATCTACTTATAGCCAATAGACCCATCCACCCTTAAGAACCAGTAACCAGTGGCTATTTTGCTAAAATCCAAGATTTAAATGGGTTGGGAAAGAAGAAAAATATAAATGGGGAAAATTTTTTTTTTTAAAATTATGTATGCTCTACACAACAAATGAATAGTATTGAAAAGAGACAAAGTTCCCAAGAGCAGGTGTAGGATTATTCCAGGGGATATTGCCATTGAAAGCAAATGTTTAGAGACTTTCTCGGGACACTTATCCAAGAATACAATACGGTAATGGGATGCAATAAATTTTCTATGAGTCACAGAATGTTTTCCAGTAAACAAAACCACTAGCCTTTTACAGGAAGTGGTGCAGATCTGATTACACAGCCTGATGTTAAAGACAGTTCAATCCAATAGAAATTCTTAATAGTTTGGGACAATTTTGGTTAGCATACTATAATATCCATAATTTCCTAGCATGTCCATTATGAGATATTTCACTGAAGTAGTAAGTCTGAAGCAAAAGTCTTCAATTTAAATCGAGCCAACTTTGCTGGTATGAGAGAGGATTTAGCCAGAATAAACTGGGAGACTAAACTTAAAGATTTGACGGTAGACCAGCAATGGCAGACATTCAAGGAGATAGTGCAAAATTCCCAACGAGCACATATTCCTTTGAGGAATAAGAATGCCATGGGAAAGGTGGTGCAGCCATGGCTAACTAGAGCAGTTAGGGAAAGTATCAAATCAAAAGAAAAAGCCTATAAAACAGCGAAGATGAGTAGTAAACCCGAGGATTGGGAGAACTTTAGGGAACAACAGAGGAGGACCAAAAAATTGATCAAGAGGGAGAAAATAGATTACGAGGGCAAACTAGCAAAGAACATAAAAACAGACTCCAAGAGTTTTTACAAATATATAAAGAGGAAAAGGCTAGCGAGGGTGAATGTGGGTCCATTACAGGCAGAGACCGGAGGAATTATAATAGGGGACAAAGACATGGCAGAGTCATTAAACAAGTATTTTTCTACAGTCTTCACCGTAGAAGACACTGGAAACATACCAAAAATAGAGGACCAAGAAGACAATGTTAGCGAGCAACTTAGGGAGATTAACATTAGTAAAGAGATGGTTCTAGGTAAATTGTCGGGTCTTAAAACCGATAAATCCCCTGGACCGGATGGCCTGCATCCGAGAGTTTTAAAGGAGGTGGCTACTGAGATAGTGGATGGCATGTCTATAATCTTCCAAAAGTCTGTGGATACTGGAAAAGTTCCCATTGATTGGAAGATTGCAAACGTAACTCCACTATTTAAGAAGGGTGGGAGAGAAAATAGGGAAAACTATAGACCAGTTAGTTTGACGTCAGTTGTAGGGAAAATTCTTGAGTCCTTAATAAAAGACGTAGTTATGGGATACCTGGAAGACCATAAAAAGATTTCAACATGGCTTTACAAAAGGGAAGTCATGCTTGACTAACCTTTTAGAATTTTTTGAGGATGTATCCAGCAGGTTGGATAAGGGGGAACCAGTAGATGTGGTATATTTGGATTTTAGGAAGGCATTTGACAAGGTGCCACACAAAAGGCTGTTACTCAAGATCAAGGCCCACGGGATTAATGGGAAAATATTAACATGGATAGAAGAGTGGCTATCGGGTAGAAAGCAGAGAGTAGTGATAAACGGATCATTCTCGAATTGGCAGGATGTAACTAGTGGAGTGCCACAAGGATCAGTGCTTGGGCCTCAGCTATTTACCATTTACATCAATGATCTGGACGAGGACATTGAATGTAATGTGTCTAAATTCGCGGATGATACTAAACTAGGTAGCTCTCAGGATGATGCAAAAAGATTGCAACAAGATATAGATAGGCAGGGGAGTGGGCAAGTAGGTGGCAGATGGAATTCAATGTTAGCAAGTGTGAAATTATTCACCTAGGTAGCAAGAATAAAAGAACAGATTATTTTCTGGAAGGGGAGAAGTTAGATAGTGTTAGTATTCAAAGGGATTTGGGTGTCCTTGTACACCAGTCCCAAAAAGTTAGTTTGCAGGTGCAGCAAGCAACTAAGAAGGCGAACGGCATGTTAGCGTTCATTTCAAAAGGTTTAGAATATAAGAGTAGGGAAGTCTTGCTGCAACTGTATAGGGCTTTGGTGAGACCGCACCAGAGTATTGTGTGCAGTTTTGGTCTCCTTATTTAAAAAAGGACATACTTGCCCTAGAGGGGGTGCAGCGTAGATTCACTCGGTTAGTTCCTGGGATGAGGGGACTGACCTATGAGGATAGGCTGAATAAACTAGGGCTGTATTCTCTAGAGTACAGAAGAATTAGGGGGATCTTATTGAAACTTATAAGATTCTTAAAGGGCTGGATAAAGTAGACACTGAGGGTCTGTTTCCCCTGGTAGGAGAATCTATAACCAGGGGTCACAGTCTTAAAATTAAGGGTCAGCCTCTTAGAACAGAGTTGAGGAAACATTTCTTCACTCAGAGGGTAGTGAACTTATGGAATTCACTCCCCCAGAAGGCTGTAGATGCTCAGTCCTTGAACATTTTCAAGGCTGAGACTGATAGATTCTTGAAAAATAGAGGGATTAGGGGATATGGGGATAGGGCAGGTAATCAGAGTTAGGTGAGAAGATCAGCCATGATCTTATTGAATGGCGGAGTAGGCACGAAGAGCCGAATGGCCTATTCCTGCTCCTAATTCTTATGTTCTTATGTTCTTATTATAGTCAGGCTCACAGTCACAGTGAATATAACAAACCTTAACTTAGAATTCTTTCTACAATTCGAACAAATCCAACAAATATTTAACAGCAAACACTTAATATTTAACTATTTATAGACTAAATCTGTCTGCTTTAACTTGCACTTCACAGGATATACTGTAAAGTGGTCTAACAGTGTGTATTTGTGGGCAACCATGGCAGCCAATTTGCACACAGCAATATCCCACAAACAGCCATGGAGTGAATGACCAATTTTATTTGGGGGATTGTTTACTAGGACCGTAGGATAAACTGACATCTTTTCAAAGTACCCTGAGAACTTTATCACCCAGAAGAACAGGCAGGCGGAACCTCTCATCCTCCATCCTCCAACACCCCCAGAACTGCATTGGAGTGTCAGCATACAACAACAACAACAACAAGATTCCATTTATAGACCATATATATATATATTGTGGGATTCGTGTTACAACATTTTAAATATAAAAGATGCTACCGCTAACAACCTATCACAGAACAGATCAATCTTAAGATCCTCTCACTCATCTACAAATCCCTTTACACCCTGGCACCTCCCTACCTTTCCAACATGCTTTCTCCCCCACTCCACTACCTCCACTCGGGTGGCTCTGGCCTCCAGCTTTGTCCCTCATTTCCCCCCACCCGCCATCAGCGGCCGTGCTTTCAGTCACTATGCCCCAAAGCTTTGGGACTCTCTCCCTTGCCATCTTGCCCTCCACTTTCCCTCTTCAAGACTGAAGACCTTCCTCTTCGACCGTACTTGAGGTCACCTACTCCCTCCCCCCAGCTCGGCAACAGGCTCCGCCACTGTTAAGTGCTCCTAGATACTACCCTGCATGAAGGGGGTACATAAATGCAAGTTGTTGTAAAATAAGGATGATTTTCCTCCACAAATTTCCCTCTCGCCTCATAAAAGCACTGGCCCAGGAAAATTTATGAATAGATGCAAGGGGGAAAGGCAAGAACACATTGGGCAAGGCCAGGATTTGTTTTGACTATGATTCAAACCACAGCATGAATCAACAACTGCAGACAAACTGAGAAAAGGGAAGGGGGACTATTTTCTGGGAGCTGATGCTGTACATATCACAAAAATATCAGTGCATGCTGAGTTGGTTGATCTCAGCTTGGGCACCAGTTACAGCACAATAACAGACCTCAACCGCATACCAATTCCCACCCTATTGGATGAAAGATGTGACCTCTTACCTGGCTGTAGATATTAAAGGGTGCTTGGTCCCCACCAGTTTCCTGACCTGCAGTGCGATATTACTGAGTTCATCGCTGAGTAGACAGCGAAGACTCATGAAGGAGGTTGG